GTGCACGGTGTTAGATGAAGTATAGGTGGTACGACTAGCCTCCTCGATCTGTGATTATTTTAGGTTAATTCGGAAGACTGCCATCAGAAGGAATAAATTACATTGATGCCAATAAATTACATTGAGAGTAAAGTACATTGTCTCACTCTTGTTGTGCAGTTATGTACGGCTCATGTTTTCAACATCATAACAATATTTCCGCGTAATAAATATCGTTTGCATATAAAAAAGATATCTGAATTAAAAATGAAACAGAAATTAGTTTAATTTATATATACTTTATTCCAGTAATATGCATATGTGTATGCGTGCGTGCGTGCGTGCGTGCGTGCGTGCGTGTGTGTGTGTGTGTGTGTGTGTGTATGTGTGCAACGCATTAAGGGGATGCTGAAGCGAAGGCTGAACTTAATCAAGATCGATATTACAGATTTTCATTTCAAATGTATAAGATGCTTACGCCCTTTGAGTTAATATGATCATGTAGGAAATTCGATCGATTAATTGTCGATATTTTTTTTCCGTTTTCTACATCTTAGCAGGGACGAAAACATGTATTAACGGGATGCTGGAGTGTCCTGTTTTATCATTAAATATTAAAGACTCTTTTCTCTTAATTGTGTTTATGGATTGAAAAATCCTTCTTCACAATTAAAGTATCGACAATAACGCAATTCGCCAGCTACATTTGAATACGAAAAACGAAAGAAAATTGAAGACTTATAGTTTTGTCATCGGCTTCTGTAGTCAACACATCACAATGCTGCATATAAGAGTTTCAGATCTTGCACGTTCATAAAAAGTAGCTGGCAAATTGCGGAAAACCTAAACGAACAATCCTATGTTTTTAGGAACGCGGTAGGAGTTTTAGTATAAGAGAAAAGAGTATTTCGTTTGTATATTACGAGTAAAATTGATGTGAAGCCACGAAACTAAGCAGTATTTTAGTTCCGCGATAGTCCGACAGCGGCGCTGTCATGAAAAGTGCGTCGCTGAAGCATAGAAATGATCTGAATTATCGACCTACTCAGGACCTACCATATCAATAAACGTGCCCTGGTCAAAGTTTTTTCTTTTGAGAGGAAAAATAATAATAAAATAAATATGATGTTAGTTATTTCAATTTTGTTGAAATAATTCTTCCTAAACAAGAAACATACTATATTATTTACATATGAATACAAATGATAATTATTTTAATTACACTGTTCTGTCTTTTACATACATTTTATTTAGTAAATTATTGATGCATATATATAAAATAACACATATATATATATATATATGTGTGTGTGTGTATATGTATGTGTATATAAATATATATGTAAATATATATATATGTGTATATATATATGTATGTATATATATATATGTATATATATGTATATATATGTATATATATGTATATATATACATAATAGCATACACACACACGCGTGTGCGTATGTATGCGTGCGCGCGCGCGCGCGTGAGTGTGTACATATATACAACACATGTCTAAACTTTATTTACTGAATTATTTACACATGCATATATCAAGGTTCGGAACGTGATGTGTGTTTCGGTTGAGCTTCCATTCTGCTCGGATGTCAGAACGACAAACGGCAATCTCGTAGTAGACATAGCATATAAATGGAATTTTCGAATACTCATTGCTTTTATATTAAAGCTCACAACTCGTTTCTGCAAACATAGTATTATTATTCTTTGAGGTTTTCTGTAAATCGCCAGCTACTTATTTTAAACGTGCAAGGTCTGAAATTATTGTATATAGCACATTTTTGATTCGACTCGAATGTCGAAATGTCGACTTAGTAAGAAGCGCCATTCCTCTTATCACGCACAAGCGAAGTATCGCTATTTAATTACAGAAATGGATCATTGTATAAACCAGCAATATATTATCGGTTGGAAACGCTATAATAATAATATATTTTTGTATATATAGAAATATATATCAGGATCGTTGTTTAGAAAAGGAATCCTGCGTCCTTGCTGCATCGGCGATGATGCCAGAATCGATAGAAATTACATTCTTGAATTGCAGAACGAATTATTAAAACAGAAGTACGACAGAGTGAGACAGAGCAAAAACAAAAAAGGAAAAAACTCCGATTGTAATCGATGAGACTCCGCACGCTGAGCTGGGCTCGTCGAACGAAACACCGAGTCTATCCATCAGAGTCTCTCTCTCTCTCTCTCTCTCTCTCTCTCTCTCTATATGGTCGCTTGTTTCTAGCGACCGAAAATGCTTTCTGGGAAATTTCGGCCGCTCAATGTGTATAATTAAGAGGAGAAAGAACATTATAGATGACATATAAGTTTTTATAAATTATGTTAATTCTATATCCCTCCAATTTATGTAATAATAGCAAAAATAATTTCAAAACACGATAATTTACGAGATATTGATATTTCTATAATTTTCCATGAGCGTCATATATCACGTTCATAGAAATAATTTGCGACCTGGGCGTGGTCTCACGCGTATGATGCGAGATTTGAATGTTAGAGATCCCATGATCAATTCCTTTTTTCTTTTTTCATAATTTTTTTTTTTAATAAATGACATTGTTAATAAACACATATTACAGGCTAAATATATTTTTATTTAAATATTGAAATTATATGTGTATTTCTAAAAATTTTAAACCGACAATTGTAGCAAAAAATAATTGACGTAGTATGCGTCGAATAGATAGAAAATTAGTATTTTTATATGTAAAGATATATGTGAGATCTGTTTACCTTTAGAAAAAATCCAAAAAAAAATCATGTTTCTGTAATAATGTTATGTCAGTACTTTCTGTGAAATGTTTTTTTTATAATTATCATCCGAATGAAAATTCTGATAATCAATCAAATCGCAAAAGTGCGATGATTATAATATAATTATAAGGATGATGTCATATAATTTTAGAATTAATAAATCGAGAAGCCTTTATATGTGCCTTTATATGCAATATACAAATAATTTTTTATTTATCTATTAAAGTGATTCGATATTCTTCCTATAGTTATTGGAGTACATGTTAAATTTTAGGTCGACTTTTGAAGCGTCGCCTTCTTTCCCCCCCACCGCTCAATGCTTGACGGCTGAGCCGCACCGGATCGCGCGCGGATGTGTATCTCAGGAGCGTTGCACTAAGAAATATGCTCCGTACCTTACAGCAAATTATTAATCCTTTACTTTCCTTAATCTTCTGTGATGTCTTCTTTATTCAACACGCCTTCTTTATTCACATGTTGAATAAAGAAGACATCACGGAGTTATTGAAGTTGAGTCATTCCAGTTTAAAATTACGCATCTTGTTCTGTATCGACTCTTATTAGTCTTAAATTGATATTATCAGTATTCTATATTAAAAGATATTACATTATATGGCACATAAGCGTGGTCAGTATCTCTTTGAAAGAAAACCGAATGTATCAATGCAATGTAAAAATAATAAAGTAAATATTTTAAAAGTACATAATATTTAGTAAAATGTATATACTTATTAATGTTCAATCACTATTATTAAGAAAATAACAATTATGTA